TTTCTGCTGCCCACATCTTTGAGCTTTTGTGTTGACCCTGTCTGGGTGAGGCCCTCTGTGACTGGGAGCTCCTTTCCTATCTCCATCTCTTATACAGTCCTCCAGGGGCAGACCAGGACTGCTTGTCAGAGGGTGGAGATGGGTTGGGAGAAGGAAGGCTTCTTCTTCAGTTATATTTATCCTGTGAGCTCTCTGGAGCGGAGGGGCTATGCCTGGCTTGAGTTTTCCAGAGCCCCTCTGGAAGGTCGAGGGGTGGGATCAGTGCTGACCTAGAAGAGCTAGTGGTTTCCTTAGAGCCAGGGGCAGTGGAAGGTGCATGGAGATCCCGGAACAGGGGAAGAGAAGAGATGAAGACCCTTCGGAGCAGAAATGCCAGCTTGGCTTTCCCTCAGCTCCTGACCCTGCTGTCTTCCTGCTCGGGGTCACGTGAACTTGTTTCTTAAAATATTATGATAATTTTATTTCGACACTGTCAGTTTCCTTTGTAATCCCATGCATAGTTTATTTCATGCATTGAACAACGTCATCCTGACGGGACTTTTACCAGATTGCCGAAGGGACCCCATGGCATAAAAAAGGCTAAGACCCCTGCCTTAGTTTCTTTTACCCGTCCTCCAGGTGGCTAGGGGCTAAGTAAGTCGCTGTAAGTGCCCTATTTTTGTGACGGGAATTTGAGCAGCACTTCGCATCTTGATCTTGATTCAATGAAGGAGAGGGTGAGGGGGTAGGGGAGCAGATTTAGCCAAGGACCCGCCTCGAGAATGCTCAGAAACGTGCAGGCAGGGCTCCGGGACTGAGTTCAGGGTGGATTCTTGGAGTCCTGGCTGATATTACTCCCCAAAGGCTTTACATAATTCTGGCCTGGCTCCCTCCCCATGATGTCATGAATGCTGAGTTGGAGTCAAGGTCATTCCATCCCATGTGGCGGTGGGGGAACAGGATGCGGCCTCCCTTGGCAAAGTGGCCTCTTCTAGCTCTTCCTGAGTCCAGCTCAGGCCCTGGGTTGGAGACTGAGCATTTGTGGTCTGGGTGTGGGGGGAGGGGGGGCCGACGAGCCTTGTCTACTGGGGGATCTGAAGATGGGGTTTTGAAAACGTAGGAGGATGTCAAGTCTTCACAGTCAATCTAGACAAGTCAGGCCAGAGCAGGATTTTTCCTGCTTACATTGGAGGCTGACACCCTCTTGTCTGCCCTGGCTGTGGAGAGAACATCGTCTTCAGGGTTCCGAGTCCTGAAGAATTAACATCCGCAGAGCCAACTTAATCCAGGCTGACCTGTCCCCAGGACTCCAGGCCGCTGGCTGAGGTACTCAGTCCAATTAAAGAAGCATTTCTTGAGAGTCTGCCCTGCACCAGAGCTCTATGCTAGGTCGGTCCTGGGAAAACAGATTCTAAGTAAGAGAGTGTTAGCCTCACGGGCCATGTAGTCTACCAAAGGGGCATAGACTCAGTGTGGTTGGGGAAGGGTGAGGCAGTGGAGAGATCATTCTGGCAGAAGGCGGGAAGATCTAAGTGTAAATCCAGCCTTACTGGCTGTATGACCCTGGGCAAATTGCTTGACTTCAGTCTGCCTCAGTTTCCTCAACTGTAAAATGGAGATGAGAATAGCACCTACCTCACAAGGTTGTCATCAGAACCAAATGAGATAATGTGTGTGAAGTGCTCCGCAGAGCCCCTACCTAGTGGGGTCTGTGGATAGATGCCAATTCCCTTCACCTCTGTTATTGACCTCTGTTTGACCCCCGAGCGAGGCACTTGACTGGGGGCTTCAGGGAAAGGCTTTCGGGATTTCCAAGGGCTACTGCTATTTTTTTTCCTCTCTCAGAATTTCTTTTCTCTCTTTTCACCTCAGAGGGTTGAAAGAGCTCTTCTCCCCTGCTGGCATCCCCAAGTGTGAAGCCTGTAGTCTTCTGACCATACTTGCCCCCTCCCCCACCCATGGAGGCATCTCTACTGCCCCTTCACCCCCTCCCCAGTCAGGCTCTCTGAAGTCTCAGCTTCTTCTTAGTTGGACTCCGAACCCTTGGCCAGGTCAGGTTTGTAAACCTTGGACACCAACCTAGGAAAACTTCCCCAGATGTCTTCTCAGAGCCCAAACCAAGAAATCCCAGCAGCTGTTCACACACCCACTTCTCCTTCACTGTAAATCCCACATTTTGTCTGTCTCCTCCCTTTATTCCCTAATCCTCCCAGCCTGCCTTTCCTCACCCCATCAGAGCCCAGGCTGCAGCCCCCACAGATCGACTCTCCTTCCTCCACGTCTTTCCCTTGGTGGGCCCTGACATTGCTCCCCAAACCAGCGAGAGGAGCGCTGGCGTCCATCTGTCCTTCTTAGAGGACTCCTTGGCATCTCCTTTTGCTGATGCGTGGGCTCTGTACGCAGAGGAGTAGAGAACCGAAGAGCCCCTCTGCATATGGCTAGCTCACCCCTGCTTGAAGACTTCACTGCCTTCTGGAGCGTCCCCGTTCCCTTTCTGGACGGCTTTACATCTTGGGAGGTTGTTGCTTATGCTCAGCTTAAAAAAAAAAAAAACAGATGCCAAATTTTAAAACTGACAGGATTCTTGGAGATCATTGAACACTACCTTCTCATTTCACAAAAGAGGAAACTGAGGCTGAGAGAGTATAAGTGATCAGCACAGTGCCTGGCATATGGTAAGTGCTTAATAAAGGCTTGTTGATTGCCCAAGATCACACAGGCTGTAGTAAGTAGCAGAGTCAGAATTCGAACCCAGGTTCTCCGATTCTAAATATATCGTTGCCCCCCCCCCACCTGCCCCCAAGACATTACATAGCTGGTGAGTGGCAAAGCTGAGACTAAAGCCTAGAATGCCTAGCTCCCATTCCAGGGTTCCTTACACACTGAGAGCTTATTGGCTTTAGGGTAAATGGTCTGAAAACCCTCCAACCCCTCTCCTTTCCCAACACACCTCTCTTCCATTTTAGGAAAACGTGTTGGACTATGTAGTCATTAAGGAATTTTAAACAATAATAGCTGAGTCAGCTGATTCTGACTTAAATGCTGAGATCTGTCAGGCTCCTCAAAATGTCTGTGCCAGGTTTTCCCCAACTTACCCTGGCTTTTCATCAGCAGCCCTCTTTTCAGGCCCCATTTCCAGTGAACAGGAAGACCCTTCCTGTAGAGGAGTCATGGCTGGTAACAACTCTTCCCCCTTACCATGTCCCCTGTGTTTGGCATCTGGACTGACTCAGATGTCCTGGGGCTGGGGGAGAGGGGGTAGACAGTTCTCAGTGACACTGGAAAATTTGGCTCTGTAACCTCAGGGATCGAGCAGGGAAGGCTAAACTGAGGTCCTTGGGAGAGGAAATAGAATGGAGGTGGTTAAGGTAAAGGGTTCAGAACTTCCAGCCTATTTTATTGTGAGTTTTCCTGGATGTCCATGACCCACAGGATGCTGGAGAGAGGGAAGAGGGCAGAATGAGGTTCCACTTGTTTCTGGAATTACTGGTTCCTTACTACATCTTTGAATTTTATGTGAATTCTGTGTGTGTGTATGTGTGTAAAGGAGGGTATCATATTTTAATTAGTGGTGGTGTCAAAGTAGGGCTAGATTAATTATTGGAAATCACGAGTTCCAGATGGTTTTAATTTTCACAGCAGGGCACTGGCATCTCCTAAGGTGTGTGTGTGTGTGTGTGTGTGTGTGTGTGTGTGTGTGTTTATTAAAATCAGACGGGATATTATTCATACCCACTGTGTTTTAGGGGCAACGTGGTCCATTTGCTGTAGCTCCAAGGATACTGCAGTCAGGAATGCAAGGCAGTGATTTGTATTAAGGAAAAGCAAGCTACTTGTCACTGAAATGAAATTTCTTTGGTGTGAAGGCAAGGGAAGAGGAGAGAGGTGACAAGATAAGGGGTGGGGTATGGAGAAAGGACAGCTACTAGAGAAAACTGGACAGCAGATGAGCAAGGGGACAGAGGAGGGATGAAAGGTAAAGAGACAGGTTCAGGAGAGTGGGGGGTCAGAGTGCTCACCCTCTGGATTCTAATTTTTATTTCAGCCGTAGCCCTATTGTAGTCAGCTCTAAATACCCTTCCCTTCCTACCTTCCCCCTCACTCCATTCTGTTGATATCTCTGTGACCTATCACTTCACTACTCATTTTGGATTAGGGTCCCAGGCAATCCAAGAGCAGGCGTTCTCTCCCCTGCCCCCTCAGGTCATTTATTAGGTCTTGGCTTTGAATGTATTCATTGGGACTCAAGCTAGTTAGTGACCACAGAGCTTCTGGGACCAACTCGGGGTGGGGTAACTCCTTGTTCCGGAACAGCCCCACCTCATTTCCTCCCTCCAGGGTCCTTATGTTTCCCTTCTCACGCCCCTTCCCTTCGGGCCTGACCTGGCCATTAGGGCCTTGGGAGGGGAAAAAGGAGGGGGGCATTAGCAGGTGCTCCATCTTCCAGATGTTCTCCCTGGGGGGCCTGTTCCAGCTGTTCTGGGAACTGTATGATGGTGCTTAGGGAGGGTGAGGTGTGTGCATGTGTGTGTCTATCCCCAAAGTCCATCCAGTCTACTGTTCTTGGCCCTGATTTATATGTACATCTGCCCTCCCTACCACCCCTCCAGGGAGAATTGCTGGAGCCAGGAGGAAGCAGAGAGGACTGGGCGCTGCTGTTCAGCTCTTAGCATCAGATAAAGCCAGCGTTTTGAATGGGGATGGGGTTAGAGGCCCTGGACCCCATTCTCTAGAGGGGTGGGGACAGTGGGGAAGAGGCCAAGGACTGGGCCTCTCCCTCTGTGATTCATAAATAACAGTGGCGTTGGGGGCATTACTGGAATTATGCTTTTCCTGAGATTCCAGATCATACCCTTCCTCTCCCATCCCTTTTCCACTGAGGAATCCTGGAAAGGGGAGTGGGGGAAGGAAGGAGGGACAGGGACAGGGTGGGGAGCAAGAACCGTCTGGTCAGAATGTCAGGGGAGCCTCGGTGTTCCTATAGCCTGGTAAAAAATGCCTTTTTTTCCTCCCTTTCTAAGCTCAGCTTCTAGTGGAAACAGACACATTTGGCAGTCAAGTCCGGATCAAAGGCAAGGAGACAGACTTCTACCTTTGCATGAATAGGAAAGGCAAACTCGTGGGGAAGGTAAGTGTTTCCCATTAATTCATTTGTAACTTGAGCATTACCTTGGAGCGATGACTGTGAAACTGTAATGATGTGTCCAGGACCCTGCCTGTCAGCCCCAAATGAAAAGCAGGACGCGGGGATGTGGAATTCTCACCGCCCTTATCTTTATCGTCTGTGTCGTTTCCTTCCCCCCACCCCTTGCCAACTCCCCAGGTCCCCCCCTTACACTTCCCCAAACTGTAAAGCTAGACACCTTGGGTAAGCACCTAGGAGTTTATTACTTCTTATGACTGGTTTGGTAGAAGACTCTGTTCTGCAGATGAACAGGCTGCTGCTGCTGCTGATAAATAACTTACATTTATATAGGACTTTAAGGTATGCAAAGTATTTTATGCATATTTTTTCATTTAAATCTCCCAGCTACCTTGGGAGGTAAATCCTGTTATTATCCTGTTTTACAGATGAGGAAACTGGGGATAAGAGAGGTGACTTCCCCAGGGTTACTAGCCAGTAAGTGTCTGAGGATGCATTTGAACTCAGCTCTTCCTTGACATCGAGGCCAGAGCTCTATTTATGACCCTGCCTAGCTGACCGATGGGCTATCCTCCTCCAAAGTGAGGGAGTTTCCACCCAGGACTAGGATAAGTGGCATCTTCTTTACTCAGAATATAGAAGGGGAGCTTCCCGCAGGTCAGAGGCTCAGTGCTTGTTTTAATAACCATGGTGGGACAGCAGAACAATGCAGTCTGAATGTCTCCATCAGCACCAGGGCCTCATGGTTCTAGCATTACAGGGAGATTTTATTTTCGATTGATGGTAGGATCCCTGCACGATAGCAGAATGAAAGAACTTGTTTTGAGCAAAGTTACGAGTGAGGAAGTTTGCTTGGCTAGCACACTGGGACTTTGCCGATGGTGGTGGGCTTTTGTATCCACCCCCACGAGGCAATAGGAAACAATTGGAGGAGAGACACGGTCCCCACCCCAGCATCCCTCAGGCGTCCCTACGGTAGCTGTGGGACCAATTGGGGCTGGGTCCCCAAGAAACTTGGGCCGCAATTGGAGGAGACACATAGTCCCCACCTTTAGCCCCCAAAAAATGTTCCATTGCGTTTTTTTGGCGGGTGAAGAACAGGGAATATTTTTTGTTTGTTTGTTTGTTTTGGGTTGGGCAATGGGAGGTTAAGTGACTTGCCCAGGGTCACACAGCTAGTAAGTGTGATGTGTCTGAGGCTGGATTTGAACTCAGGTCCTCCTGAACCCAGGGCCCATGCTGTATCCACTGCGCCACCTAGCTGCCCCCGAAAGGGAATAGTTTTGAAAAATATTTATTATTTTGTTAACATTCTGGTTTCTCTGGCATCCTCTTAGCGTTGCTGGTCATGAGTGGAGGGAAATCACCCTTCCCCGGGCACGGGCTCTGCTTGCCTCACTGTTAGACATTCCCCACTTCGGACCCTTTTTTCCCCATCCTGGCACCTCCAGGTTTAGGAACAGGAGTTCTAGAGCTGGATTCTGGAAGGCAGACTTCTAGAACTCCGATTGGGAAAGAGTGAGCACTGGATCTGAAGATGGGAGAATCAGGTGCTAAGCCTGTATAGCTGGTATAGCACACACAACCTCTGTGACCCGAGGCAAATCATTGTACTTCCCTGGGCCTCAAAAATGAAGAGGCTTAGGCTAGATGAATTCTGAAAGCTTCTCCCTGCTCCCAGTTCTGTGGTCCTATGACTCAAGAGGCTGCCAGTAGTTTTTTTTTGGGGGGGGCGGGGAGGAAGATCTGAAGCACTTGTCTGGGTCTGCAGCCACACATCTCCAAGGGCAGTGAGAGCCTTTGAATGGTGAGTTGGTGATGCTGTCACCCAGTAGTGGGTCCTAACACCTCCAGGGGAAGCTAGACTAACCCCCCGAACCCCAGGGGTCTCCTCACGTGCCTGATAGAGTAGATGTAGGTGGAGGACAAATGTGCAGCAGGCAGGAGGCTGGAGCCAGGGGGAGGAGGGAAGGATCCTCCCTAGCTTTGTACAATACTGTATTTGGAAGGAAAAGATTCCAGACACATTGCCCACATTAGCTTCTCAAGAGCAAAAAAAAATCATAGTAAGTCTTCTCGATGCTAAAGAGTGTGTTTTTAATTAGTGATCCAGTTTCCACTGTTTTTGTGGCTAGGTGGGGGGGGGGTCAGAGGAGGAGGTACTTCTCTGAACGAAGGGGTAGAGTAGATCATGGTGGCCCCGGTTTCCTGGGGACCCAGCCCCAGTTGGTCCCACAGCCACTGTAGGGACTCCCGAGGGATGCTGGGGGTGGGGACTGTGTCTCTCCTCCAATTGTTTGCTGTTGCCTTGCCCTGCGTAATCCCTTATGCCTGCTTTGTTCTCCTTCCCACTCAGCATCTTGGGATGTTTCCCAGGCACAAACCTGCTTTGAGTTTAGTACGTTTTATTATAATAAAATTTTTGTGTTTGTTTCTCATGATCACCTACAAAGAGCTAGACCCACCAGGGACAGTTATGGGACCTGGCCAGGCAGGAGCTGCTCTCAAGTCCTGTACAGCTCCCTTCCAGCAAAGGCTAGCCATCCTTGAGGTCAAAAGAGCAGCCCCAGTCCCGCCAGGCCGAACCCTTCCCGCCTTCCTTGGTGACTCACCCCTTCCCCGGGAGCCCGTCTTCTGTTTCCTGCATTCTCACCCTCTCTCCTGTTCATTGACATTGGTGACTGTACAGCTGGCACCGGCCTTCGATTGCTGTTCCCTTCCCACCCCTCAGAGCTACCTCTCTCTCCTAACCTCTTCCCCTCTTCCCAGACTGGGTCCTGTTGCATTTTAGCCTTCCTCCTTCTCTTCATTAGTCTCTTGCCCTAGCTTTCCCCTCCTGGGTCACCTCTTCCAGCTCCTGTAGCATGGTGCTGACTCTCAGGCAGTGAGTCATCTTCCAGAAATTCACCTGTCTTGTTCTTGCCCTGTGAAGGATCCTCCCTCCACCCTGTACCTCTCCTGCTACCTCCTAAAGACCTAGCTCCTGCCTTCAAGGATAATATAGTCTAGAGTGTGTGATGTGAGCCCCCAATAAGTTTGAAGCCAGGTAGAACGAGATAAGGACAAAGGAAAGATCCCAAAGGCTGGAAAAAACTTCAGGAGATTACCTAGTCCAGCCTCCCTGATTTTACAGTTGAGGTGACTGAGACCCAGGGAAGGGAGAAAAAACCCCCCAAAATGCCTTTACCAAGCCATAGAAAAGTAAGTAGCTCAATTTGCGCCATGCTTATTTGGATACATGCCTTATCCTTTCTTGTGGAATATAAGACCTGGGTTCGAATCCAGTGCCTTAACTTGAAGGAAGAGAGGTTTTCTAAACTATGTTGGTGAGGAAAGAAGTGTATTTCAGGCATGGGAGGATGAATGGCCTGGGTAGAGGTAGATAAGGCAGGACTATACTGGGAAATGAGGGGTGGAGGTGGGAGAGAACAAGATGGGGGTGGGGTGGGAAGGGAAGGATAGATTTTGACCTGACTGGAGGAAGGGAAGTGTTTTGGGGGGGTAACGAGCTGAGGTTGGAGAAAATGAGAGCATCTTGACTAGATGTTCTGGGAAGTCCATAATTGTTTTAAAATTTTCAGTCTAAAGTTTGGGGAAGGAGCAGCTTCTAGACTGAGTTTAGCTTTGATTCATGTAGCTTCAAACATATGAACTTGAGAAAGGAAGCAAGCAAATCATTTGAGAGAGGTTCTCTGGCTGTGAGGGAGGAGCTGGCCATCGGCAGTGGTCTCATTGAGCGGTCACTGTGTTCTGAAGCAACGAAAAGGGAGAGACGGATCTGAGGGGCACACAGGTCAGTTAACTTGGGCTTGACTCTGAGTCCTTTGTGCCGGTGACAGAGCAAATGAGGCTTCATCATGATCGATTGATAACAAAAGCTTTTATTTCCATTGCACATTAAGGTTGAATGCTTTCCTCAAACCCTCCTTCTGAAGTCAGCAGAACAGATATTATTAATAAATTCCATTTTACAATGAGGAAACTGAGGCTTGGAGAACCTAAGTGACTTGCCTAGAGTTAGCTGCCTAGTAAGCATCTAAGCTGGAACTTGAACCTGGGTCTCATGAGCCCCATCTGAGTCCAGCTGTTTTTCCACCAGACCACTACAGAGGCTTGCAAGAGGTAAACTGGGGGTTGCCTATAGGCCTGCATTTTGTTGGAGAAGATTTGGATTCTGTCTTTGCTGGGAGGAAAACTCAGTAAGGGAGAAATGAGCATGGTGAGGAACTCGAGGGCAGACTAGAGACAGATCTAAGGAAAGCGAGGTAGCCTCTTAAGGGAGCATCCTTAGGGGCAGTGAAATAAGTGACACATTTTATGATCTTCTGTTTTTGATGCCAGAGAATTCTGCTGTCTGTAGTTTATAGGCATTTCTTGATAAACTGAGAAGTGATTGTAAGCTCCTTGAGGACAAGGGCTGTCTTTTGCCTCTTTTACCCATCGCTTGGCATAGTGCCTGGCACTTGGTAGGAGCTTAATAAATTTTTATTGATTAATTTCTCTAGTGGGCCAGTAACCTACCAAGGGCACAGTGTTACAGCTTTGACTAGAGTACCCTGAAGTCCCCCTTCCTTGTTCTAGAGCAGACTACCCTTGGGAGGTAGCGACGTGGGGTATGCTGGGCACTGCCAGCTCACAGGGCCTGGGACGCTCAGGCTTGGGAGGAATCCTCCACTAATGCTGTTAAAAAGAGCTCTGCAACAAAACAGAATGCTCCAGGAGGCCCACTCAGAGAAGGGTTGGTGTGTTGGGGAAGGCTGTTATTGAATCGGTTTGAGGCAGTGTGTGGGAGGAGAGGTGGAGAGGAAGAGAGAGAAAGAGGGAAGGAGAATGAGAATATGTCAAGGGGAGCTTTTTGGACACGGGATTTTGAGATGAATTTTAAATGGCTGAATAGGAATTCAGTGAAGTGATGGGAGGCAAAAGTGCTACTGAGAAGGCTCCAGAATTTCCTGCTCCCAGAGGAGGTCTCTCCCTTTTTCTCTTGTATGGTTAATGGAAGCAGGAATCAATTGAGGTTTTTTTTGGTTTTTAATTGTGAACCTTATTCTCCTGGTCCTTCCTTAGGTTCCTTACCACCAGTGACATTTTCCTGAGTGACCAAACTGTTTGGCCTTACATCAGATATGGTGTCCCTTGGGATCTTAATATCCATTTTCTTGCTTCCAATATTTAATGCATCCCCAGGAATCTGAGTACCTTTGAATGTAGGTCATTATTATTTACCTCCCAAGTTTTCTGTGAACACCCCCTCTACAACGTCCAACTTCTTTCCCAGTCTCTAATGAGCCTCCTCTTTGCTCCTACTGAATGCAAACGCATACACACAGGGACACACATGCATATAAACACCCCCTACCACATGCTCCCTGAACTCTCAGCAATTTCCATGAAATACTTTATCTTGGAAGGGCATTTTGTATTTGTTTATAAGTTTTTGAAAAGTTCAGCACTCTGAAGTATCCATGCTCATTCTCAACTCAAAGGTGAATGTTACTGGAAGCATTTGGGAGAAATCCTTGGAGTCATCAGTAAGTTATGAAAACCTGAAAGGGAAAAAAAAAACCCTGCAGTTTCCCACTTCAAACAAAAGGTTGGAACTCTCTACTTAATCTAAAAAAAACCCCAAAAAACAAAAAAAAAGCAGACTGACCTTGAGATTTCCAACTTGGCTGAGAATTGGTCCATAACGAGGAGTATGTTCTGGCTAAGTTTGGAGAAGCTCTTGGAAACCCAAGCAATATTAATATGTCCTTCCAGCCTGGGATTTGTGCTTTTTTCGACCTTGCAATGATCTCTGTCAGGGCTGTGCAGAGGCCCCTAATGGGCAGACTAGGATTTCTGGAAAAGGGAGATTTAAGGCCCTTTTCTTCCAAGTGCTAGGAGAGTAGGGTCAGGGTGGGCCTATTGGGCAAAAAGCTGGGGCTCTTCCTGCAGACCCCCTTCTTTCCTTGCTAGATAGATTATGTGGCATCTCAATTCAATAAACTTTATTAAGTGCCTACTATCTGCTAAATGTTGGAGATAAAAAAAGAGGGGAAAGACAGTCCCTGTCCTCAAGGAGCTTATAATCTAATGGATTGTTTCCTATCGTTAGAGTGGGGCCAAAGGCAGCACAGACTCAGGAAGTGATCATACAAGTCCCTTGGAAAAAAGCCTGGTTGGCCTTAAATGATCTCTACCTGCACTCTGGTGCTGCAGCCTTTGCTGTCTGAACCCCCTTGATTACTCTTTTCTAGCCTGATCCAGGAGGTCTGGCCATGTGGCATATTTGGAGGCTTTGGGCGCAATGTATTAAAAAACAATTGAGACCCTAAAGATGTAGGGAGGATGAGAGAGTGAAGGGACTGAGGAAAGGGGGTAGTTGGAGAGAAATAAGGCTAGGAGACAGGGAAAGCGAAGCAGGGAAGATTTAGAGAAGTTGTCCAAGGAGCAGAATGGGTAGCTTGTAGAGGAAAGGGAACAGGCTAGACATATGGACCCCAGTTGCATGTGGGCAGTGAGGAAAAGGCATGGGAGCTGAGGTAAGGAGAGCTTGGTTGGGTCCTATTCTGACTTGGGGTTGGTACCCAAGGACAGAAGTCTATAATGGTAGTATAACAACAACAACAACAACTGCTACTATTACTACTACTACTACTACTACTACTACAACTAATAATAATAATGATCATAATAATAACAATAACTAATATTTATATAATGCTTACTGTGTGCCAGGCATTGTGCTAAGTGCTTTATAAATATTATCTCATTTGATCCTCACAGCAACCCAGGGAGATAGGGGCTGTTATTAACCGTATTTTACAGATGGGGGAATTGAGGCAAATAGAGGTTAAATGACTTAAGGAGTGTCACACAACTTGTAAGGGTCCGAGGCTGAATTTGAATTCAGATCCCCTGACTCCAGGCCCGGTGTTTTATCCATATGTAGCACTCTAAGGTTTACAGAGAACTTTATACGTAGTATCTCATTTGATCTTTACTTCAATAAATCCTCAAGGATTGGCAGTAGTTACTGGGACAGAACAGAAAGAAGTTGTAGGAAATAGGAAAATGAGCAGAACACTCAGCAGATATTCATTGATCTCGCAGTATGTGCCCCATGTTATGATATGCTAGGCTGTAAATTCTAGGAGAGCAAGACAGCATCTTCATCATCCTTGTATCACGTACGTGCACATTGTAGGAATCTGACAAACATCCAGTGAATCACTGAATGTGCTAGGTTTGTGGGATGCAAAGAAGTGGTAGGATATGGAAGGGCTGCTTTCAGAGAGATTGCAGTTGACTAAGGAAATAAGGGACATGGGTATTATTTTCAAAAACTGGATTCAAATATGACAAAAAATGAGAAGTAATGATTGGGAGAAGGCACACTGGATTGGATGTGAGATATGAAGGAAGGAAGGAAACAAATAAGCAGTAATTAAGTGCCACTGTGCTGAGCACTTTACAAATATTATCCATCATTTGATCCTCAAGACAACTCTGAGAGGTAGATGCTGTTATTATCCCTATTTTGCAGATGAAGATATTAAGGCAGAGAGAAGTTAGGTGGCTCATCCAGCTAGTAAGTGTCTGAGGCTGGATTCAAACTCAGGTCTTCTGGATTCTAGGCCCAGTGCTTTATTCACTGTACCTCCTAGCTGCCTACTGTGTACAAAGCACTATTTTAAGCATTGAAAGTAAAAAGACAAAAAAAAGAAACTCTACCCTCAAGAATCCTACTTTCTACTTGGGAATCCGGCATATTGACAAAAATAAATAAATAAACACAAAGGAACTTCTGGAGAAGAGAATGTTAAAACCTAGGGGATGGGAAACAATTGATCAGGAAAGGCCTCATGTAGGAGATGGTACCTGGGCTGTGTTTGGAAGAAAACTAGGGATCTTTTGAGGCAGAAGAGGAAGGGAGAGTATTTCAGACGTGGCTGACCATTTGTCCAAAGGGGGTGAGAGATAGAATGTCATGTGTGGGCCAGTTTGAGAGAATACATGAAAGGGAATAATATGAAATAACACTAGAAAGGTAAGGAGAACCAGATTGGGGGAGGCATATATATTATCCTAGAGGCAATAGAGAGTCATTGAAGGTTTTTGCTTTGGGGTGGGGGCTGAAACGTGGTCACATCTGTGTTTTAAATTATGAATATCAATTTGTCATCTGTGTGGAGAATGAATTGGATAGGAGTTTGGAGTCAGGAGTATCAATTAGGAGGCTATTGTAAGTAGTCCAGTGAGAAGTGATAAGGGCCTGAATTGGGGAGAGGCTTCTGAGTGGAGAGAGGGGACAGAAACAAGAGATGTGGTAGAGATGGGATTATTGAAAAGACTTGGCAACTGGTTGGATGTGGGGGCTGAGGAGTCGGGAAGAGTTAAGGACGACTCCAGAGATGTGAGACTTTGAAAGGTGTTGGTACCAGAAACAAAAATAGGCAAGTTTGGAAGATGGATGTATTTGAGGGGAAGTATAAAGAGTTTTGAACACGTTGAGTTTGGGATGCCTACGGGACATCCAGGTGGAGGTGTCCAGTAAGCAATTGATAACGTGGATCCAGAGTTTAGGAGAGAGTTTATGACTATGTAAGTTTGGGAGTCATCTGAAGAGAGATGATAATTGAACGCTTGGGGCTTGATGAGTTCACCAGTGGATAAAGTGTGGAGAAGAAGGAAAAAAGAGCCCTTAGGGCTTTCTCTTGGGAGAACACCCACATTTAGCTGATGAAAGAAGGCTGAGGAATGATCAGATAGATAGGATGAAAACCAAGAAACTGGTGTCATGGAAACCAAGGGCAGAGATTGTACCTAAGTATAACTAGGGATAGACAATATCAAAAGCTACAGTTAGGTTCTAGTAGAGTGCATACTGAGAAAAGGCTATTAAATCGAACAGTTAATGAATTGGTGCTGACCTTGGAAAGAGCCTTTCAGCTAAGAATGAGATGGGAAGCCAGACTTGAAGGAATTGAGAAGTGAGTAGGAGAAGAGGAAATGGATGCAATTTGAGAGTATAGACTGCCTTTTCTAGGAGTTAGTCTATGAAGGTGAGAAGAGACACAGGACAAGAGCCTAATAAGATGATAAGGGTCAAGTGAAGATGTTACAGGAGTTCAGAGGTAGGAGACATTATTGTGGCCTGAGTGATGGCTAAAATCTTTATGGAGGGGTGAGATTTGAACTGGGCCTTGAAGAATGGGTAGAGTTTGTACCTTTAGGGAAGAAAAGGGGAGAACTTTCTATATTAGTTGGGGGTGGGAGGGAAGGGAAATAGCCTCAGCAGAGTACAGAGCTGGAAATGCGTAGGCAGCTTGAGAGGACAGGGAGGAGACCTATCTGGCTTTGGCAAAGGGATCGTGGTAGGGGAGGAGTGTCTAGGACCCCGGATAATCCTTTCTCACCTCTTTGCTTCTTTTTTCCCCTTCTTTGCAGCCTGATGGCACCAGCAAAGAGTGCGTCTTCATTGAGAAGGTCCTGGAAAACAATTACACAGCACTGATGTCTGCCAAGTACACAGGCTGGTATGTGGGCTTCACCAAGAAGGGGCGACCAAGGAAGGGCCCCAAGACGCGGGAGAATCAGCAGGATGTCCACTTTATGAAGCGCTACCCCAAGGGCCAAGCTGAGCTGCAGAAACCTTTTAAGTATACAACGGTGACCAAGCGGACGAGGCGTATCCGACCCACACACCCTGGCTAGAGCAGCCAGCCCCAGCAGCCCCACCAGGATGGCGCCACCATAAGCCACACACACAGACACCCATGCCAACACACACACACAGACAGATACACACACTCACACACACACACAAAAAACTGCATCAGAGAAATATTTTTACATTAAAATAAGGAAGAAGTTCTATTTTTGTACATTGTGTTTAAAAGAAAAAAAAAACTGAACCCAAACGCTAGGGGAAGCGGTAAGGATTTATTGTTGACTTGAAACCACCCACAGCAAAAGACTCTTATCGAACTTAAGTGGACTGGGTGCCCATTTCTCTTTTGGAACAGACAACTTTAAGCTGGTCCCCAGAGAACTTTATTACAGGAACCAAGAAACAAGGGAAACCAAAGTCTTTTTTTTCCAAAGTTGCTGGAAAAAAAACAAAACAAAACACCCCCCCCAAAAAAAACAACACCCCCCAGACTGCCCTTCTCCTTCCCTCATCCTTGTCCCACCTTTCCATCAAACAAAACTCTCTGGCTTGCAGGCATTTATTTATTGTCTGCCGCAAGCTGCGTAGAGACAAGATGGCGACACCGCGCGGGGATGGCGTGTCCTTGGAGTTCTCAGCGCATCGACCTTCTGACGACAGACGGCTCCGTCCTAGCTCCGTGACCCCTGCATCGCTCTCAGTTCTGGAGAATGCTGCTAATTACATTCAGTGACTCAAATGATCTAGTACACCAATGATAAGGGAATATTGTAAAACCAGCTATATTATATATATATATATATATATATATATATATTATATATATATATAAGCTATTTATTTCACCTCTCTGTATATTGCAGTTCCATGAACCAAGTATTACTGCCTCAACAATTAAAAACAAACAAACAAATTATCTAGAATGACATGGTGCGTGGCTGTGGGAGGTTCGGGCTGGCCAGCCTTTTCTCATTCTTGACCTCTGTGGCTTTGGGTTTGCTTAGGTGTCCTGCTCCTTTGATCCTGAACCCTGGGTGAGATGCAGGTGGCAGGTGGGGACCGGGTATCTCTACACGTACTCAGATCCTGGACCACAGAAGGGAGCCCTTGGGAACCTGGAGGAAGGAGCTGGTAGGAGGGGAGTGCTTGTGTGTATGTGGCATAGAAGGATTGATTTCTTCGTCATTCTCCTGACTTATATCACCTGCCTCTGCCCTCCCTTCTCTGCCTGTACTTCCATTTCAACCCCGGTCCTGGTAAAAAGACTGGAGTGTTACAGACACTGATGTCGTCCTGAGATGATGCAGTTCTGAACCTCTTCTGATAGAAGAGCATGAGCTTTGAATCCTGGCACATCACACTGACGTTCTGTGAAGTGAGGGACTTGGGATCCATAGGTTCCCTTCCAGCTCTGAATTCTGGTTTCTTGGCTTGTAATGAGCTGCATTCAGATCTTGAAATGGGCTATTGAATGTCTGCTGACTGAGGGCGAAACACGTCAGATGGTGGGGAAGAGGAGAGAGACTGGTGTTCCTGGGTTTTTTTTTTCCCCCTTCAGATTTTAAGTATTACAAAAGGGATCAGAAAGCCAAATGACTGCTCTGTATGTATTGGGTGTGCCCTAGAGTAGGACAGCTGACAGAAATCCATACCTCTTTCACACATGAGGCTTTAATCTTTGTCTCTGCCATCCATCACATACCTAATTCTGACCTCTGGCGAAACAAGTCTCATCCCCAGTGCCTGGCTTATAGCTTATTGACTGACTGACTCTTCTTCCACATGACAGCCTTTCAGATATCTGAAGACAACAATCTTGTCCCCCTCAAGTCCCCCTTCTCTTCTCAAGGCTCAATAATCCCCAATTCCTTCCATTTATGTCCAAAAACATTTTCTAATCCCCTCTTTATCCTGAAGCCCTCCTCTGGACACAGTTCAGCTTCTCAAAATTCTTCCTAAAACGTGGTGTCCTGAAACAAACCCCATGCTCCATCTATCTAACCAGGGCAGAGGACAATGAAACCATCCCCTTTCCTCCTGGCTGCGCTCTGTTCATGCAAATGGAGGCAGATTTAGCATGATTAGTTCTAGCTTACACAGTTGACACACAAAGGTTGTAGTCCCTCAAAATGCCATGCCAACTGTTGTCTAGCCCTGCCTCCCTCACCCCTATACTTGGGCAGTTCAGTTTATGGACCCATCATATTCATCCTTATTAAATTTCATTTGATTAGATTTAGCTCATTCTTCTAGCCTGAAATGTGTGTGTGTATGTGTGTGTGTACATATATATGCACGTGTACACACACACACATATATATATATTTTTGTAGTGATGGTGGGGGGGAGGGGGAGATATTGCGTGTAATCCGGTTTGTTAGCTGTCCTCCCCAGTCTCTGTCATTTGATAAGCAGGCTATCTATGTCTTTGTCCCAGTCATTGATTAAAATGTTGAGTTGGACTGGGCCAAAGACAGACATCCAGGACACTCCAGGAAAGATCTCCCTCTGGGTTGACATCAGCAAGACAGTATAATATAGCGGACAGTGAGTGCACCGTCTCTGGAGTCGAGAGACCTTGGTTCGAATGTGACCTCCAGTATTTACTACCTGGGTGATCTTGGGGCAATCCACTTAAACCTCCCTGGGGGCAGGTAGGTGGCTCAGTGGAAAGCATGGGCCCTGGACTCAGGAAGACCTCAGTTCAGATCTGGCCTCAAACACTTACTAGCTGTGTGACCCTGGGCAAGTCACTTAGCCCTAATTGCTTCCGAAAATAAGAAATAAAAATAAATAAAAATAAAAAATAAACCTCCCTGGACCTCAGTTTACTCATGACTAAGTTGGTCTAAATGGAGAGTCCTTCCAGCTCTAAAACGAAGATCCTAATTTTGTTTCCATTGGAATCACTAATATTCTTTGTGCCTGCTCTTCAATCAGTTCCAATTGACGTACTTGTATTAGCCCATACTTTTACATCACTGGCTTGAGTTCTTTTCCATGGTTATTCATATAAGTGGAATAAAACCCTGATAATCAAATCAGATGATTCACTTCTTGGGAAATGTGGCTAACAATGATTTTAGGGTCTGGATTCCGTAAGCAGGTAAAAACATAGTGCACATTCCAGGCCGTGTTCTCTTAGGGCCTTTGCACATAGCTGCCAGAAAAATCCAGATGCCTGACCCCTCCCTTTGTTCCACTCATAGACCTCCAGTTTTTACCTGTTGTCTCAAGTGTAAAATAGAAACTCCTTATCCTAGCATTTGAGGGCTTGGGCAGTCCGGCTGTCACCTACCTTTTCTTTTTCACTTCACACGCTGTCTTAATGCATCATCTTTTCCTCAAAAAGCTGATTCCTATGGGAAAGCAGACAACTGAGTGAAGTAGAAACCATAGCCAATAATACTTTTTATTTCACACACTGTAAAAAGCAAATGGCATGCCCTATCCAGAACCAAAAGGCCGAAGTATTGAGGACTGTTAATGCCACTGGGAACAATGATTTCAAGGGATGATGAGTCAGTGTGTGGCTGAACTTCTCCATTTTAAGGTAAGTTTTGCATGTCATTAGACCTAAACTCAAAAATCTCAGGCATCTCTGAGTCTTGCTGCTCTACCCGCATCCTTCCCCACCAATCGGTTGTCAGATGTCTTACATCCATTGCCTCTTCTTCAATCCTACCGTCCCCATGATGAGCCCATCATGTCTCACACGAACTCTTCTAATAGCCTCTTACCCTGTCTCCCTGTCCTGTGGTCCCTTCCCTTTCCAGGCCAACCCCCAGAGTTTATCAGACTCATCTTCCCAGTAATTGTGGCACTTTCAGGAACTCCTTGTCGCCTCTAGGATAAAATAAAAACTTTTCAGGCTGCTCCGATCACCTTCCTAGCCTTATTGCATATTCCTTTTTAAAATACATACTTCCAGTTCCATATTACTGCCTGATGATGTCCTTGCCTTTTCTGATTCCCTGCAGATGGTCTCCTGTGCCCATGAGGCAATGTCTCCACCACTCTTTGGGTGGGGGTCCTTCTCCTTAAAGGTCCAGCTTTGATGCTACCTTGTCCATGAAGAATTTCCTCATCCACCACTCCCACCTAATATTCAGCTAAAAATGATCTCTTCCTCCTTAATTTTTCCTAAGGAATTTTGTCCTGTATGTTCTTTTGGCACTACATTTGTACATGTTTCTTCCCCCTCCCCCCAGTTAACTGTGAACTCCTTGAGGGAAAGAACTCTGCCACATTTTTTTTTATCTCTAGCTTACAGTACAGAAGCTACATAGAGTAGGTATTTAATAAATTTGCAGAATTGAATCCAGTGTATTACTGTTGCCGTAAAAGGAGCAACTCTACGCACACTATACCTATGACAGACTATTCTGGACCAAGAGCTGGAAGGGACATTAGAGATCATTAAGTCCAATCAACTGCATTACAGAGATGAGGAAACTGAGGCCCAGAAAGGTCAGGACTCTCCTAAAGTCACATAGGTCACAGATGTCAGTCAAGACTCCAACCCAGGCTCTTCCATTCTGCGTCTGTCACTCTCTCCCTATTCTGCTTACTCATTGTTATAATTCTGTTCAATGAGGGTTTTGAACAACATGAATGAATGAATAAAACATTTATTAAACACTAAATACAAAGCACTGGTAAATAGAGATGGGAGACAGTCCCTCATCTCAAGGAGCTCATGTTCTAATGAGGGAGACCAAATATACAGGAGGTTTGAGCAGCAAGTCCACTGCAAAAGTCCATAAGATACAAAGTAGGGGGCAGCAGCGAAACAGATGACAATTGCTCTTCTTTCATGTCATTGCCACTGAAAAAAATCCTAGCAGATTCTGATGTTGAACCATTTGACAGGTTCAAGGACTTGGGTGGCAAGAGCTTTCTTTTCTGGCTCTTCAGTAGCTGTGGCTGGAGCATCCTTGCTGGGGTGCATCTCCCCAGGGGTAGCTTCCCAGGCTGAGGGCACGTGGGACAGTTCCTTTTCCCTCAAGCCTTCCTGGGGCAACCTGTGCTCTCTGAATATTAACAACCTACTCAAAAAACAGCTATGACTCAAGATGTTTGCTGTGTGTGTGCCTCTGAGCCTCCACAAACTGTTTATCTAGACTGGGTCTTTGGCTCTTTCTAAAGAACATTGTAAAGTGCTTTGGATTTGTAGCCAGCAAACCCAGGTTTGAATCCTGCTTCCAATAGATAGATGTAAATACAGTGTTTATATACATTTGTATGTATACATACATACACACACACACATATATATACTGCACGTATAGTATAGGTATGTTTTGTTGTGGTTCCTCCTTCGTTCTCAAAGAGGACCAATGACATCATGGGTGATGTCTCACCTTGCCCCTGAATTGGATTTAAGTTAGGCAAAGTTGCCAAAATTTGTTAGCCTCACTCTCTTTTCCAGAGTCATTGGGTCCAATGGCAAGACAAAAGTCAAGATGACTGGCGATGGCCCAGGATGCAGTGGGTGATCCTGGCATGTTCAATATCTGACCAAGCTCTAAGTGCTCCACAGTTCCTGTTTCAGTCAGCTTCCTGGCCATTGGAACAAATTGTTCTCATCAGCCCTTTCCACAGGGGGAAGTCTTCATGTGGTGGGGGTAGACATTCCCCTAATTCACTGAGGGCTTTGAGGCCTCAACCTGATTTAGCCCATCTGCCCAGATGGTTTTACTGGGGTTTGGCTACTTCCGAATGCTACAGCTTTTTGGAGCTACAGGTGAGAGGGTTGGGTGAAGGTGGACATCAAAGGTGGAGGAGCGGCCAGCAAGCCCTCATACCAGAGGTGCTAGTCCTCCTGAGCACACCATATACTTCGTATATATGTGTATGTGTTGATTTCTATACTGACAGATGAATGGATAGATGATAGGTAATTAACAGAGGCCAAATCTATTCACTTATTGGTGTGGGAAACTCCTAAATATAGAAACTCCCTTCTCAAAGGCATGAGCAACTGTCTGTAACCGACAGTCTTAGAGCATTGCTTGGAGTATGGAGAGGCTGAGTCATTTTGCTCTAGGTCATGCCAACAATATAAGTCAGAGGCCATATTTGATCCCAGACTTCTCTACTGCAAGGCTCTAACCACTACATAGAAGGCTTCATGATGGACTATTGTAATAACTACTGACAAATTATATGTTTCCTTAAAGTTTGAAATGCACTGGATATACATTATCTCATTTGAGTCTTAGAACCTCTCTCGGAGAAAGGCACTGCAGATGTCATCACCCCCATTTTACAGGCGAGGAAACTGAGTCTTGGGGAAGTTATGTGGCTATTAAGTGTTAGAGGGAGGATTTGAATTCAAGTCTTCCTGACACCAAAGCCAGTACCCTATCAACACACCAGGCTACCTCTACAACCTTGGGGAAAGTAGGTGGTTTTTTGTTTTTTGCTTCTCTGGACCACAGTTTCTTCAATTACACATTTAAGGGGCTGTATTGATGTTTTCTAAGGACCCTTTCATGTTTAAAGTATAGGATCCCACAACTAGATAGAGCATACCATAGGCCCAATCCTGCTTCCTCATCCTCTCCTCCTTTACCTGCCTCTTCCTCTCACCTCATCAAACCTCATATCAGGATTAAGTCTTTGGCACTTCGGGGGTAAACATTCCCAGTTTCCTTATTCCCTGGGAAAAACCATAAATTTCAGGAAAATTCGGAGGTCGGGTGGGGTGGGGTTCAATCATAACGTTACTTTGTTGCCCCCAAATGAAGGCGCTATCGGTTTGGAAAATGTGGTTCCTTGATTTTGTTTACTAGTAGACCTTCCTGGAAATTTCCTGAGCTATGAGAAATATTTTAATTATATCCAGTTGCACATTTCTAGTGGGAATATGTCCCAGTTGTAAATGATGTTCCATTAGTAATATAAACATAAGGAAAGCAACCTTGTATTACAACCCTCAGTCTGCCTTGTGGCCCAGCTGTACCTCACTGGAGTGAAAAGCCCAAACCTGGCTTCGGACGTGTTTCTGCCCCCTCAAGGAATAGCCCCGGGGAAGGATTCTCTCCAAGGAAATGGGGCTCTTCGGCTTCAATCACCTGCCTGGTTTACTGCATCCCCAGGGTTCCCACTGCCCTCACTCCGGCCCTCAGGACTGGGCTAAAGGGGGGTCATCTTGGATTCTTTTTTGCACCCTAGGTACTAAGATTCTTCCACTGGTCCCTCCCACCCTAGATTAGACCCAGGGAGCAGAAGCGTCAGGGCTGATCGTAGCAGGACCCCTACTCTCAGAGTTCAGCGACAAGACCATGTTCCTGGGAGTCACTGTCCTGCCTGCTCAATCCAAGCCTCCTCTAGGGGTCGGGAAAACAAGGATGACCCAAATTTGAGAAAGCCACAGCTGAAGGCTGACAGGGGGGCAGAAGAATAGATTGCATCCACTAGCTATGAGGCAGAAAGGAGATCCAGCAAGTAGAGGCGGAAGGAGATGAGAATGCAGGAGAGTGGGGTGAATAGAGGAAATGGAACTGAGAAGAAGGGGATGGGATGAGAAGAGGGAGAAGAGTCTGGAGAAGGAAGATGCGGGGAGGGGGTATTTGGGGAACTGGTGCCTAACCTTCTTGCCCGAGGGACCCGGTTTCATCACCTGGGTGTAATGGGGGCAGCCGGCTGTTCCAGGCAGTTACCTAGCAACCATCCGATGGGACGCTAACCACTGAGCACAGAGCTACTGGGGAAGGGGGGGGGCGCGGTTCGAGATACCCTTTTGCCGCCCCTTCTTCACCCCCGCGGTGGTGTGATCGAGTCTCCCCAGCGGCGGGTTCAGACAAGTCTTCGTAGGCCAGTCTTTGCATGTGTGTATGTCCTGGAGACTACCCTCTTCCTTCCTCCTTCCAGCCCCCCAGTGTCTCCCACCTTCCACAGAATCAAAGTTTGCTTTACAGTAGTTTGGGTGAACTTAAGTGCCCCAACTCCCTCTACACACAGTTCAGAATTGTGTGAATGCGGCCATGCAAGTTATCAACGCCTGTACATGCTACTTAGGCGGTTTTCCAACCTCAAGTGCAAGGACCTTAGATTTGGGAAGAGGGATTTGTGTTAGCAAGTGCGTCTTCTCCTGGGACGGGGGAAATCACTTCCTTTCTCTGGGCCACAATTCCTTTATCTGTACAATTTCTAGGATCCCTTTTGCCTTTAATTACATGATTCTATGTTAAACACCCCACCCTCCACCCCAACTAAGAGAGAGGTCATGGCAGATAAGCATCTCACGTGCACCTCTAAGTCTTTAAGCTGATTGTTTCAGATTCGCCTAATTTTAGCGGATTGAAGTCTGGCGTTTTTCGGTCCGTTGGGTGAAAAGCCACAGGTTCTGCCCGCGGGCCTCTCTTGCTGGCAGATTGAGTGAGGGGCCGGGCCTGGTAGGACTGGACCAAGGGCGAGAGAAGTTTGCAACCTCCTTCCCTCTAACAGCGGCTCTCCTCTGTCCAGACAGCGGGAGGGGGCATTTTCAACATTTCTCTAAACTTCTCCTTCGGCACTAGCGCATCTTTCCCGATCTCCACCCCGAGCTTCTCGAGGGACTGGGTCGGGGAAGTAAGTCAGCACGAGGCGTCGGGTTTCCCTGGAGCCTCTGGGGAAACGGATGGTCCCCAGCGCAGCCCTGGGGGGTGAGAGACGCAGTGCGTGGGTCCGCGGGCCGGAGCGAGCCTCCGGGCAGAGCGGCCGCGGAAGGAAGGGATAGCTGAGGCCCATAAAGCGCCAGGCAGTGGTCGTTAAAACGGGGGCCATTACACAATTAGCGCAGCGGTGGTAACTGGCCCAGCGTGAGCCCCCATAAAACGGACCCGCGCTTCCCTCGGCCTGAGCCGAGCCGGGGTCCTAACGAGGCCTCCGGCCGCCCGGAATCTCGGGCGCAGAAAACGCGCGGAGACTTGAAAGCCACCATAAAACCGAGGGACCTAGGCACCAAAGCCGCGGGGAAGCGGGCACTTTCAAAGAAACAATAGTAAATTAGGTACTAAAGATATAAAAGCCGGTTCCCTAACTGTTTAATTAGGTATCGTGTCTGTTACAAACATTAGGCCGGGAGTTTGGAAACAGATGGCCCGGGCCTCGCGGCCCCGCACTTGCCCGCCCTCCCCGGGGACGTCGAGTATCAGGGCCTGGGATTTCAGCTCGGCCCGAGAGTTCCGCAGCGGGAAATGAAGTGGGAACCGCAAGGAGCTCCAGGAATTGGGCCCCACCCGCAAAATGTCCCCCCCCTCCCCTTTGCCTGGCCTTGTAATTAAAGCAGAATTCCGTTCACTTGTTTGAGTCGACCCCATGGGCTTAATTAGCACTTGCTAGAATCCCCCCCGCCCCCCAGCTTCTCCGCTTGGAGAATAAAAAGAAGTTTAAATAGGGTTTCAATTCTCCCGCCCACTGGTCTGACTTCAACTGTGGCTGTGGGACAGTCACCAGCCCCCAGGCAGGCCGGAGTCACACGCTCCTAAGCACGCTCCGCGGCGAACAAACTTCCTCCACGTTCAGGGTGGACCGAACCTTGGAAGTCATTCACTTCCTGGCTCATCTACTCGCTTACCTGTTTGGCCCCGTGTGAGTCATTTTTAGCCTCTCTGGGACTCTGTTTCCTTACCTATAACGTGGGGGAGGTGGGAAAGATTAGATGAACCCAAAGCCCCTTTAGGTTTTAAGTCTCAGTCGGCACACACACACACACACACACACACACACACACACACACACACACAAGCAGATTCTACACACACACATATTTTCATAGTTCTTTTAGCTTTGTATTCCTAGTGCCTACTACAGTGCCTTCCTTGCACATAGTAGGCACTTAATAGATGCCTATTGATTGATTGATATACCATACAAATTCACAGTACAGTGTTTATACCCTCCTTCATACATATTTGGTCTTACATTCACCATCACTCACTAATACTCATTCACACTTACATGCACCGGGTGGCTTAAAGTATCACTTAAAAGATTTGGTGGTGGGGTGGGTCTGGGAAACGATTTAACAATCATGTACTTACTGTAGGCAGGATGTCAGCACTGATTCACATACAAATTGTCTCTCACTTTTCTTATTCATCCTAAACCCTGGTACCAAAGTAATTTTCCTTAAGCACAGATCTGATCATGGGACTCCTCTATTCAAACAAGGCCAATAGCTTCCTATTTATTACCTCTAAAATAAACTCCCCTGTTGAGCTTTTAAAAATGTAACTGATTTCACTTTTTTCAATTGTGCATTTTTTTCCTCCCCCTTTGAAAAAATTAAAACAAAACAATTGTAACAAATGTTTATAGTCAAACAAAACAAATTCATCCACTGGCCATGTCCATAAAATATATATCTCATTCTGCATCTTGAGTTCATCACTTCTCATAGTGAGTAACATGGTTTATCACTGGTCCTCTGGAATTATGGTTGCTCATTTCGTGGATGAGTTCTTAAGTCTTTCAAAGTTGCTTTTCCAGTGTTTTTGTTGTATAAATGGTTCTGTTCAAAATATTCTGCATCAGTTCATACAAATCTTCCTAAGTTTCTCTAGGTTTCATTTCTTATAGCACAATAGTATTCCATCACATTCATATGCTATAATTTGTTCAGCCACTCTCCAGTTGATGAACGCTTATTTTCCCGTTCTTTATCATTACAAAAAGAGCTGCTATAAATATTTTTGTACATAGGAACCCTTTTCTTCTTTCTTTGACCTCTTTGGAGTGTTGCTGGGTCAAAGGATAATCAGAGGTTAATGGCTTTTTGGGCATAGTTCCAAATTACTTCCCAGAATGTCTGTGCCAATTCACAGCTCAAACATCAATGCGTTAACGTGACTTTTCCCCCAAAGTTCCTCCAATATTTGTCATTTTCCTTTTTTTTTTTTGCCAATGTGTGAAGTAGAACCTCAAAGTTATATTTGTCATTTTCCTTTTTTTTTTTTGCCAATGTGTGAAGTAGAACCTCAAAGTTATTTTAATTCATATTTCTCTAATTTTTGGTGATTGGGTCATTTAAAAATATGGCTTTTTCATATAGGTTGGATTTCTTTCTTTGAAAATTGTATTTATCTGTTGACCATTTATCAATTAGGGATTCTGTTTAGCTTTTTCCCCCCCTTTTTGGTGAGGCAGTCAGGGTTAAGTGACTTGCTGAGGGTCACACAGCTAGTAAGTATCAAGTATCTGAGGCTGGATTTGAACTCAGGTCCTCCTGACTCCAGGGCTGGTGCTCTATCCACTGCACCACCTAGTTGCCCTTCTGTTTAGTTTTTAAAGCCCTTCACAACTTCTCTTTCTAACCTTATTGGATTTTATTCTGCTTCCCACACTCTTTGATTCAGCCAAAATGGCCTTCTTTCTGTTCCTTCCATCTCCAGGCCTTTTCACTGACCATCCACCTGCCTGGAATGCACTCTCTCCTTACCTTGGCCTCGAAGTTCCTCTCTTCCTTTCAGACCCAGCTCAAGCACCATCTTTTTCATGAAGATTCCCTGATCCCTCCTTCCAACTGCTCGTGCCTTCCTTCTTCAACAGCCTTGCCTTAAGCTACTTTGCATAGATTTATTCACTGCATGTTTATGTATTTTTATCCATACTTATCCTCTTTCTCATTAGAATGTAAACTCTTTGTGAGCAGGAATTCTTTCATTTTTTGGACTGGCATCCCCAGCATCTAGCACAGTGCCTGGCACTGTTGATTGTTGATTGATTAAAATACTTGAGTCAGAATATTAGGGTCCTCCATCTGAACCAGGGATGTTCTGGATCCTTTTTTCTTTTGGTGAGACAATCAGGGTTAAGTGATTTGCCCAGGGTCACAGCTAGTAAGTGTCAAGTGTCTGAGGTCACATTTGAACTCAGGTCCTCCTGACTCCAAGGCCAGAACTCTATGCACTGAGCCACCTAGCTGCGCCTTTATTCTGGATCCTAAATCAGAAAACTGAAAAGCTTCTGATTCCTACCCAGTAGCTCCGTTGGTTGCATCAGCTAACCAATAAGTATTTCTTAAGAGCCTACTACGGTGGGGCAGCTAGGTGGTGCAGTGGATAGAGTCCCAGCCCTGAAGTCAGAAGGACCTGAGTTCAAATCCAGCCTCAGACCAAACACTTGACACTTACTAGCTGTGTGACCCTGGGCAAGTCACTTAACCCCAATTGCCTAAAACCAAAATCCAAAAAAAAAAAAGAAGAAGAAGAAGAAGAAGAGCCTACTAAGTGCCAGACACTGTGCTGGGTGCTGGGAATACGAATACAATGAATGAAACAATCCCTCCTTGAAAGAAATTTACGTTCTACCAAAGGAGACTACAAGGGTACATATGAGCGTATAGTCAGTCAGCCAATAAACATTTATTAAATACCTACTATAAGCCAGGATACAAAGAAAGGTAAAAGGCAGTCCTTTCCCTAATGGGTACATAAGAATAATAGCTAGCATTTATATAGCACCTACTAAGTGCAGGCACTGTCTAAGCCTTTTATGAATATTGTTTCATTTGATCTTCACAAGAAGAAATAGAAAGAGAACAAATCCCCCCCCCCCCAAAAAAAGGTGCAACAGATGTTCTGGAATTCCATAAATAGAGTCACATGATTCTGTTAATTCTTTAGTCTAGAGCTATTCACACTGTCAGCCACTGGGAGTAATTCCAAATGTGGAGAAAAACAAACCCACCCAGAGAGCCTC